TAAGAGACAAGAGGAAATGAAGAATACAATTTCTGAATTGAAGAACACAGTAGAAGGAATCAAAAGCAGGCTAGATGAAGCAGAGGATCGAATCAGGGAGCTGTAAGACAAGGTAGAAACAAGCTCCCAGAAAGAGCAAGAAAATGAAAAAAGACTCAAAGAGAAAAGAGGCATTTAGGGAAATGCAGGACAACCTGAAACATAATAATATCCATAGAATAGAGATACCAGAAGGAGGAGAAGAGGAGGAAGGGATAGAGAACCTGTTTGAAAAAGTAACAATGGAAAACTTCCCTAATTGGAGGAGAGAAAAAGCCGCACAAGTCCAGGAAGCACAGAGGGTCCCATTCAAGAGGAAGCCAATGAGGCCCACCCCAAGACACGTCATCTTTAAAATGGCAAATATCAAAGACAAACAGAGAATCCTAAAGGAAGCAAGAGAGAAAGAGGTAGGAACATGTAAGAGAGCCCCGGTATGGCTAGCAGCTGACTTCTCTACAGAAACACTAAAAACCAGAAGGAAGTGGTAAGAAATATTCCAAGTCATGAAAAACAAAGGCCTGCAACCAAGACTGCTCTACCCAGCAAGACTCTCAATTAAAATGGAAGGCAAAATAAGGAGTTTCCCAGGCAAAAGAAGGCTAAAAGAATACACCTCCACCAAACCAGCATTTCAAAATATGCTAAGGGGACTGCTTTAAGAAGATGAAGAAAAAGAGTCTATGAATACCCAGTTCCTTTGTCAGTCACCAATACTTGATATCAATATTTTTAAATATGTATTAATCTGATTGTGACAATGATGTGTTATTTTAATTGTTCCTTTATTATTTCTTGAAATTAAACCTGTTTTTGTATATTTCTTGCCTATTTCTATTTTTAGAAAGCTTTAAATGACTTTTTGGTATTCTTTATCCATTTATCGATTAAAGGTTTGTAGAAATTTTTCCTTAAAACAAACTACTAACCCTTTTTTAGATTTGTTGCAAATACTTTCCTATTCTATTACTTGTCCTTAAACTTTTTTTACATGAATATTACTGTGTAGTCTTAAATGTTTAATATAGTCATCTTGTCAATATTTTACTTTATAGCTTCTGGGTTTGAATATTTTACCTCGGTAAGAAAAATAGTATTTTGTGTTTTCTCCTAAAACTCCTTAGATTTTACATATTGATTTCTAACTCACGTGAATATTTTTTTGTATAATGGATGAAATAGGGCTCTGTATTTATTTTATTTCAAGTAATAGCGGTCCATGTACCTTATTTGTTGAATAAATCTTATTTTACCCACTGATTTGATATATCAATTTAATCATGTATTACATTGTTAGATATATATGTTTGATTCTAGAATGCTCATTTTATTTCATTGATCTACTTGATTATTTCTGTGCTGGTGTCATGTTTTAATTGCTGAGGCTTCATAAAGGATTTAAATTTTTTAATATTTATAATGGATTTTGTAGTTTAAAAAACGATTAAAATCAATCTGCACTTAAAAAAAAAGAAAGAAGGAACTCCTACCTTTTGCGACAACATGGATGGAACTGGAGAAATTATGTTAAGTTAAATAAGCCAGTTGGTGAAAGGCAAATACCATATGACCTCACCTATAAGTGGAATCTATTCAACAAAATAAACTAATGAAGAAAATAAACCACAGGCACAGAAACATGGAGCACACTGAAAGTGACCAGAGGGGATGGGGAAGGAGGACAGTGGGGGAAAGAAGGAACTAAATGAAGAACATGTATGAATGACCCATGGACATGGACAACAGAGTGGGAATTGACTGTGGGAGAAGGGGTTGGGATGGGATGGATAGAGGAGAGCAAAAGGGGAAAACCTGAGACAACTATAATAAAATAAACATGATTTAAAAATAAAAATTTTAAAAAAGAATTTTACCATTACTGGCAAATTTCTATACATGCATTATTTTATTTAATCTTTTTAATGTCCCTGTGACATAAATTTGTATAAGAATAAAACTATTTAAAAATATATAAAACCAAGTTGATTAGGGGCAGGGTAGGGGACAAATAAAACCTTAGTGAAATTTAAAAACTGAATGAATGGCTAGGATGAAATACAGAATAGACAAATATGAAGAGAAAACTGGTGATGTTCAAGATGAATCTGAAGATACTGCCCTGAATGACTAGAACTGGTAAAAGACTCAGCTGAAATAATCAAAATAGTGTTGCCCTAGTAGAAAAATAATGCTAAACACATAGTAGACACTTGGGAACACCAAATATTTTAAGAGACTGTCTTGAGAATCATCAGAGAGGAAAGAGAAATACATGGAAAAAGCAATGACAAGTGACAACAGATTTTTTAATAGTAACAATAGACATAAAAATTTATTAAAGGATGGGAGTATTAAAGGATGAAAACTAAGTACATGTGGAAGGGATTGTGAATTAGAAGCATTGTACAGTTGTCTAGGAAACAGATACAAATAATGATTAACTTTAGATATTTAGACACGTACTGATGTTAAAATGCTATCAAGTACTGTGAGCAACTCCTATATCAATAAATTTTAAAACTTAGATCAAAAGACAAATTTTCTAGAGCAGTTTGTGAACTAACTCAAGAAGAAAGGAACCTTCAGTAGACCCTTAACATTTTTTTTAAACATTTTCACCAGAATCACCATCCCCAGACAGTGCTACAGATGAGTTATACCAAACATTAAAAGAGAAATAAGCCCAGACTTATACATAAATTTTTAACTTACATAATGTGTCTTACAGTAACCTTGATAACCCAATCACATAATTCCCAATACTAGGAAGGAAAATGATAGACTGATTTTGCATGAATGTACACACAAAATCCTCAGTAAAGTATTGGCAAGCAATCCAGGTAGTTTTCCTGACATTGGGGATTCCATATTTTTCCATTGATTTCAAGTGCCACATTTGTTAAAAAATGAGTTCCCATATAAGTGTGGGTCCATTTTGAGCAGGGGAGGGTATGTTTATGTGCTTCACCTGTCATCTTGAATTGAAACTTGAATTGTTGAACCTTGCATTTAGGATGTTTGCATAGGCATTTTAATATATACATAAATATTCATGTACATTGAATATTGGTACATGTTCCCTTTCTCCCCCTGTCTAAAAATTAATTAAATAAATCTTTTTTAAAAATGTTGAACTTCAAAGGGCTGTGGGGACATAATTCTCTTTTAAATAACCTTCTCTCAATTTACCTCTATCCATTATCATTACTTTTTGTTGTGAGTACACCTATCAGTTCTGTTAAGTAGATAAAGTAGATAACATTTTACCATCTTATGTACAGAAGTTCATCTTAATGTATTTTGTCACATGTTTGTTAACTGAGATCAAGATACACTATGTCTGTGGCATCTCCTCCAGTGGAATACACATTAGTATTTGTCTTTGAAAAGTAGGTGTTTTTTAAAAATCCTAGCATGGCTTAATGTTAAAGTCTTACTCTTCCACAAATAAAAAAAAAAATAGAAAATCTTTGAAGATTGGTGGGCCAGTTAATTAAGACATCAGAAGAGAAAAGGGACAATAAGAAAACAGGACAGTTGATGGTCAGGGTCATGGTATAGCTGGACTGAAAAGAAAATAGCCTGTGTTACCCTGGCTGGGCAGCTTGATTGGTTGGAGCGTCGTCCCGTACATCAAAAGGTTGCGAGTTTGATTCCTGGTCAGGGCACACACCTAGGTTATGGGGTTGATCCCTGGATGGGACACATATGGGAGGCAATTGATGTTTCTTGCTTTCATCCATGTATCTCTCTCTCTCTCTCTTTCTCTCTCTCTTTCTCTCTCTCTCTCTCTCTCAAAACAATCAGTATATCGGAGGGTGAGGATTAAAAAAAAGAAAAAAAAGGCCTGTGCCATGAGAACAAGAGCTCCTTTACCTGAGGAAGTATGCGTATTCTGTGTCAGGTGAAATTTTGGGGATCAGGAGAAGAGCAGACAGGATTGTTGGCCTTTCTTTTCCTCTTATTGTCTCTTTGAAATGTATGTGGTGAATATTAACAACAGGTAATTTGGAGAGAGTATGGCTATTTTGTGTATGTGTGTGTGTATACCACCTCCTTACTCTTTTTGCTTTGGACAAACTAATACCTACTTCACTTTTTCTGAAGATTAAAAGAATAACTCAGTATGAATTGTGTAGCACATTTCCTTGTATTTTGTAGATAGTAGATAAAGGTTTATTTAACCTTTGTTAAATTTTCCCCCCTTTTAAATTCCATTGAGTAACTATGGTGGAACTTGTCAGGGAGTTTCTAGTGTGAGCTCTGTCATCGCATTCCTTGGCCTCTACCACTGTTCATCCTACCCAGACTTGTTTTATTGCTGCTGGAAGAAAGAAAAATTTATCGTAAGTCATGATTAAATAGTATTAGTAGAATAATGGCTTTCTCTCTCCTGCTACCTATTCCTTTCTAAAAATATTAGTTCAAAAGCAGTTCCTGATTAGTTGCCTTATTTTCTAGCCCACATTCAAGTTATTCCCATTCAAGTTACTCTGAAAATTATATTTATGTATATGTTTGTTGAGCAAATGTGTTCTTAGGGCCCTCCTTGAATATACTCTAATGAAAATTCAGAGCTCCTAGAATATGGAGATGATTATGTTTTTTGAGTACTTGACAGGTGAAAATCACTTTTAATAATCTGTTTTAATTCAGCCTAAGACAAGGTTACTTGTTTAAAAAGTAGACAGCATGTGGGAGGTAGAGATAAATGATTTGGGGACTATGAAGAAAGAGGATACATGGATAAATTTCATGCATGGGCTCATGAATTATTTTGGGATTTACTTTTATTAGTTGCTTATCTGATTGCATGAATTATTTCATGGCATATTTTCTTCTTCAACTTCAGGGTTTCTATAGGATGGATTAGTAGGCCCTCTACTTACTCTTTAAAAATCTCTTGGTTCAATACATTGTAATTAGTTTCTGGTAATTAAATCGGTCACTTTTTCTTGCAGATTGAGGTGGTACCATGCAGCAAGAAGCAGCAAGATGCAGAGTTCGAGCCAAAAGGCCTGACATGGCACTTTATGTACCTAAAGCTCGAAGGGGTGTAGTACTCCTCAAGACAGGGGATGAGGAAAAAAACTGTGGTCTACCTAACTCTACAGTGAAAGAAGAACAAAAAGAAGATCATCTCTCCGAAAAGGAAATCTTCAGAAACAAACCTAAGTCTCAAAGACTAAATATTTGTCCTGATAAAAAGGAGCACAATTGTAGAGAAGGAAAGAAATCTTTAACAAAATTAAGAAAAGACACATGCCTTCAAGGCAACAATAAAGATAGGGTTTGTACTAAGAGGGGAACCACAGAATCCAAAGAAATATTATCACAAGAACATCAGCAAGGAGTGTTAAATTCTGGGACTGTACCTAGTAAATCTTTACAAAGGCATTTTAAGCCAAAGAAGGTGGAATGTTTGGAGGTTGAAACCACAGATGTGACAAGACATGAGAGGTTGCTTCTTCCTCAGTCTTGTTCAGAAATTGGTGAGTCTTCAGTTCTAAACAAGCCACTCCAAAATGTGGAATTCTGGGATTTCAGTGGGCTTGAACTAAATGGGGAAACATTTGAAAACAGAGGTTTAGAAAGCAGAATTGAAACTGATGCCAAGGTTGTAGAGATACAGTCTCAATTTCCTGGAGTTCATAGTTCTGTTTTGAGACCTGAGAGTATGATCACACCATTAAAACTAAGCTGTGATTCTGGAATTGTGCAACAAGGCATGCAAACATCAGGTGGAATGTTAAAGCTCAGCAGTGGAGGCATCATCACTATTCCTGTTCCTGGAAGTCTAGATGGTGTCACTGATCAAACTTCTGTAGACTTCGAGGCTGACGATGTTGGTGATGCAGCCAACAGTACAGATTTCATCTTGGGTCAGAAGGGTATAGATTCCATTCCTGAGACAGTGGGTCACATCTCTGATAAAATGACTTTAGTCAATAAATTAGAGAGCACAAATGGCATTTTTGATCCAACAATGACTAGAGGCTGTGAGGAGAATGATTGCACTGATAATGAGTTACGTGTAAAGTATAAACCTTCTGAATCAGCTGCCCTTGCCCATGAAACAGATACAGGTAATGGGTTTAAGACTATAGGCAACATTACAAATAAGGCATGTATGATGGACATTACAGATACCATATCGGACCAAATAACTGTAGATAACCCTTGTGTCATTGCAGTTGGAATGGGTGATGAAGCTTATAGCAACACAAGTAATTTCTCAGATTATTTAGAAATGAGTTCAGATATAGCCTCTCTTCATGTAGCTAGAAGTGAGAATGGCACTGAAAGTTTCGGCAACCTGACTGCTTGCTCAGATATTTATGCTGAGAGTCTTTCATCTAGCTTCACCAAGTCAACAGGAAAGTTGATAGAGAATTCGTCAGATTGTGCTTCATCCTTGCCTATAAAGAAGATTGCTGGTAGTAACTGTAACACCTTTTTGGACTCTGAACTCAGTGTGTTAAATGGGATGAAAGTATTTTCAGATAGTGCCTTGGGCAGTGATCAAGATTGTACTGGTGATATAACAGAGGCCTTGCATGAACTGAAAACTGCTGAAGAGTTCAAAACAAAAGACGAAGATGACTCAGAGAACATAGAATTTAGTATATCCTTTCCTGATACAGAATCAGTTTCTGTAGAGACATCCATGGAACCAAAAGCTACTGAAACTTCTCACATGGAGGGAAGTGCTGCTACTGAGGAGAGCTGGGAGTCCATGTTTAATGATGATGGTGACTGCCTGGATCCACGCCTGCTACAAGAGGTATGTATAGTGGAAATTGCTTGATGCTTAGATTCATAGAACTTTGGATTTCAGAGGTAATTTTATAGACATTTGTGTACACTCACACATTCACTTTTTTACAGCCAATGTAAGGGTTCCTGCAATAAACTTACAGGATTATAGGTTGAGAAAAGAATATCTTGTAGATCTTTTAAAACTAAAATATACAGAATTGAGCGATATCTGTCACAGCCAAGTCCTGAGTGATCTTAGTGAACAGATTAAAGATGAATTTAGTTGAGTACTAGCTGTCTGTTTAGGAAGTACAGAGGTAAACTTCTTCAAAATGGCTTTTCTGTGTTGACAAGGTATGTTTTATACAAGCTTATTTGAGGGAAGGATAATAATTTTTTATTGTTTATATTTATTTTATTTTTCCAATCAATGTTCAGATATTTTTAGACCTAGTAGAGCAAAAGAAGTAGAGAAGGGAAGAGTAAAATAAATGAAGATGTGGTTGTTTTAAGTAGTTTATGCTGAGTTAAAAAATAAGTGATCATTGAGTCTATAGAAAATGTAAGTGAATAATGACATGCTGACTAGTTAGAGTTCATAAATACAAATTGTTAGATTTTTGAAGACCTTTTTCAAATTACTTAGTTCAGTCTTTTCATTTTCTTAATTTAGACATTCAACATTTAAATTCCTTACTGTAAATAAGAACCACTCCCCTATCATTCCTTATGGTGGGTTTACATAACCTTTGCCTAAAAGGGGGACAGAATTGATTTCCTTATAAAATCTCCAGTTTTATAAATGAGGAAATTAAAGCTTGGTGGTCATACCTTTAGGAAAGGCAGAATTAGGGTTACAGTCTAATTCTGTTTTAATCCAATGTTTATGTTCTTTCTACCAGACCACTTCCTTATCTCAAAAATAGAATTTTGTTTGAGTTATTCCAAAGAGCCTTTTAAATAAGTGATGAGTCTTTTGTTTCTGAGAGATAAATCAGAAGGATGGAAAAATGATTACATGCATGTGAAAGAGACACATGAGACTGAAGATATCAGCCCATTGGACAGAACTGACTTTCCAGTTCCAAGCAGTTCCTCCTCACTCTTAGGAGGTGTTTGCATGCAAACCTACCAGTACCAGCACTTATTATAATCACATCAGGAAACACTGTTCCAAACATTCAGAAAGAAACAGAGAGCAGAAAATTTCTACAAGTGGACATTCATGAACTTGAAAATGCATGAAAATTTTTACACACACACATACACACACACCCACCCACCCACCCACCCACAGTTTTTCATAGCTTTCATCAGATTCTCAAAGGGAATGGTTCCCATAGTATGGTTGCTAGACTAGCAGCATGAGCATCAGTTATATTAGAAATGCAAACTCTAGCCCAGCAGTGTGTATATTTATAAGTTTTCTGAGTGATCCTGATGCACATAAAACAATAATATGCTCAAAGGTAATACCCATACTTAAATATATCAGAAAGTGAGTGTGGTAACCGGAAATGGCTGTCAGCCCATAATTAGAAAAGTGTTACTCAGCAGAGATTTTAGACTCAAATTAGATTCAGAAATACCAATAACGGGAGAAGTTGAATGAATATAGAGAATTTATTAAGGATTCAAGCATTAAGAGAAGACTTTAATCTGAGACAGGAAGTGGTGTTCATAGGAGTTGGGAAAGGGACTGACTGCGTAAGGGGGTAGAAAGCACACGTACCGATAGTGAAAGAACAGTTTTCTACAAAAGGACAAGGGACAGACATCTTTTTACACATGGTAGCACTCTAAATATTCATTGAATGGATATAGGTGATAGGGCATAGTTAGAACTCTCCTTTTAGGATGCCCTCCAGGTGCTTTCAGAACATCATTGCTGCTAGAATTTGGATTCTGTGTGATAGCTTAGGAATATGGCTTTTGTATTGAGGGGGGCAGGGGTTCTGGCAAGTAACTATTCTTTCAAGTCTTAACACTGTTTAGAATAGGTGCAAAAGAATTGAGGAACCACTTAGTATTTTGAGGAGCATAGTACTATAGCCAAAGAGGACAGTAATGTGACCGAAAGCGGGGGATGACGGGAAATGGAATATGTAGTATTTAAAGCTGAATACAGCCAGTGCTTGGGTGTTGTGTTTGGATATCTTTGGAGGTTCTTGGTATAAATTGAGTCTATGTAGGGGGATAAGGATGGATGAAAGCAAGAAAGAAGGATATGGATTGAGAATGTTGAAGGGGATCCAGCTTCAAACTTTGGTCTCGTGGTCTTTGGGTTTTAGAAGCTATAATAATAATGTTACTTTAAAAATGTCACAAATCCAATCATTAATAGTCCCTTTGGTGACTATTAACACTTAATTTATATTACTCCAAACATACTTTATTAAAGGCTAAACCAGAGGGTCTGCCTACCTTGAAAACTTTCCAACCAAAGATTTTTGGATCTTTTCCCAGCTTGCCTGTTTCTTTTTTGACAATGGCTAGACATGTGGAGGTTTGTCTGATACTTCTGATAGGCAGAAAAGTATGCTGTAGAGCTGGGTGTGGCAGCCATTGGCATGTGAAGCAGTTTCCTGTTGTGTTTGAACCTCTAAAAGTAATGAGGGTAGAGAACATAGCTAGGTCATTATTGAAGTCCTAGAACTGCAACTCTATGAGTCTCTGTAGATCACACTTAATCTCCTAAAGCCATGGTATGGGATGCCGAGAGACTTAAAAGTAGGTAAGTGATGCAGAAAAGGATGTTGTCCTGACCTCTTTCAACCCTCTGAGATCTTGGTATAAGGAATCATTATTATTTAAATAAAACTTTGTAGCCCCAGTGCCTCTGCTGATCAGCAAACTTATTGGTAGGATACCAACAATATAACATTGATGTTGATAGACACTGGCATCTGGTCCCTTCACTGGCCATGTCTGGCCTTGATGTGAGTATGTAGATGGGAATAAATACTTAAATAAGAGTCTCTTTTTGGTACTGAATGTATACCATGTGTAACAATATATAACCATGAAAGAGAGAAAAGTAAAGACCACCACCCATGCTTTCTGCTGTGCTCTCCATTTTTAAGTAGGCAATCCAGAATTGAATGGAAATATTCATAATCCATTAAAAACAACCTATATAAAGTAGAAAGGGAGGAAAGTTCTTCATATCCCTCCCTTAGGGACCTTATTACTAGTTGATAACCCATCACTTTGCAGTTAAATAGCAAATATTGAGCACTCGGAGTTTGACAAACTGTAAATTATAAATAGATGTATGAGAAGGTATCCAGCCATGTAATATGAAAAATAGAGACATTTATTGAAGAAGACTCGAGAAACATTGTACATAGGACCATAAAGCCTCAGTCCCCTTCAAAATAGGCACCTTGAGGCCTCAAATCGCCTCAAGCTGCCCTGTCATATTTTCCTGAATCTCATTGGTGGTCTGAAATCTCTGCCCTTTCAAAGGTGATTTTAGTTTTTGGGAAAGCCAGAAGTCTAAAGGCACCAAATCTGGGCTGTATGAGGGCTCAGTCACCTGGGTGATTTGATGTTTTGCCAAAAAACTGCATAAGACTTCATGCATGAGTGGGCATGTTGTCATGATGAAGCTGCCAATCACCAATTGCCCATAATTGTGGCAATCATCTAAATAGTTTCTGCAAAGGAATGTTAAAGCTTAATGCAGAATTTGATGCAGATTCATTGCTCTACTTGCTCTGTCATTTTGAATGTGATGGCCACACAGTACACATGCTCATTCAGTGGTGTCTACCGCCTCCACTGACTAGTACAGTGAAGTAGTCATTGTTCATGAATGTGCATTCCAGTCCACTTGCCTTGGCTGCCAGGTTACATCAGCATCTTATGCAAACCATTCACATTACATTAACAATGGTTGGACTTTTTTGAGACATACCTTATATGTCGTCGTTATCACTACTATGTTAAAGGCAATATGCTACATGCCAGCTTTTTTCTCTACTCTAAAATTGTTTATATTTTATTTGGAGAGACAGGGTATAACCATATGACTAGATATTTGCGTAAAAATCTGAAGAATAATTAATATAAAACAACCATATAAGAGATGCCCTAACACTGAATGTGATTGTCTATGAGTGATCTAGACGGTGGCTTCCAAAGAGGATTTAATCTCTGAGGGCTAACTGGTTAATACTGTTTCATGTTGGTGAGGCCATAGAACTAAATAAGAGATTATAATTCCCCACTTCCATTAGATTATTCTGTGTTTTTAATTTCTGTTTTCTATTCTATTTGTATTTATAATAAATATACTCTTTTTGAGCAATTTTTAGGTTTACAGAAGATAATTGAGTGAAAAGTATAGAGACTTCCCATATACTCTCTCATTCTTCAAATGCTATTTTAATTTGTTTTCACAGTATCTTTTGTTAATAGTTCCAGCTCATGTTAACAGACTTATATTTGATATTTTTTTAAAATGTCTGAACTAATATGTTATTGACTGCCTAAGTGGGGATTTATAGACTTACCTCCCAGATGCTATATATTCTAATGTAGTCACTTGGGACATCCAGAGAAGAATTTGATTGTTTATTGTTCATTTCATCAGTGGATAATGACAAGATCTCTGGTTCACACAGAAAGAGGGAACATCAACTAGAGTCCATTGTACATAGTTTGTGCGGGGTTTTTTAAACCTAGTAACTCCTAAAATTAAAAACCTTCTGAGTTTTGTTAGATTTGTTGCATAATATTTTTTCCCTCTGAATTTATATTCAAACCAGCAGCATTTTAATTTCTGATCCCTTTTCTCAAAACTAAAGAAAGGTATAAACCTTTCTGGGCCTACACTGTCAATAAAAGGAGGGATTCTTGTCTGAAACATCAGAGATTCCTGATGTATTTACTCTGTCCCTGGCAGTATTTTAGTGAAACCCAAGAGATGTGGTATGTGGGGTATGGCTGGCGCAGGTGGAATGGATCAGTGATATAACTCATAATGTTCATTCATTTAATTCATTCACTGTTTAGTGACAG